CTTGGCCTCCCAGAGTAATGCAGCTTTTAAGAATGATCCAACCTACACAGTACTGTTCACTATTAGTACACTAAGATAACATGGGGAACAGATAATGCAAATAAACTAAGTAAAGGTAATTTTTGACATACCTAATCCTAGTCCATTCACAGGTGATTAAAGATAGTAAATATAAAGTAATGCATTACACTATTCCTTTTTAAAAAGCTTACTCTATCATCATATTAATTGAAGTACATCAAAAAATTCAATTTTAGCTTTCTTGACCCCAAATTTTCATACCCTGTGCATACATCTGTATTGCCACCCTACTATAATTGTCATTTGATTATCCCCCCTGATTATTCTTTAGAAGACAAAGGTCATATTTTCTCATCTACCTAGAATAGTGCCTGTTACTTAGGCAGCTAATAATTGAATGAATGAGTGAATTTCTACTTTTGTAGTAAATATGAGAATGGAACTACAATTAACCATAGGTATCTGAAAGAGTAGAATTTGAAAACTGCTTTGATGCAAGTTAAAATAATCATCTCAGTTTTGATTCTGATTGTGTGTTAATACAATCCTTTATGGGTATATTTGATTAATAATGCTTATAATTACTGTTTTATTCTTAGAATATTGTGTCTACCTTTTACTGTCAGTAGTTGTGTGAATGGGCTGGTCACAATCATAATCAAAGTCAGTGTGTAACTTTCTTGTAAGCTTCTTCCATTGGTTCAGCTGTGATAAATTATCCTTTGTTTCTTTAGAATATTGCATAGTTAATTTTTACTGTGTTACTATGTTGTTTACAGTGGAAAAGAAGAAGGAAACAATAACAGAGTCAGCTGGTCGACAACAGAAAAAGAAAATAGGTAAGATGAGATATTAGTTTAAACAAAATTTGGATTTTCTTGGAAAAAATAAATTCTTAGATGATGAAAATATAATGAAGTCATTAATAGCGGTAACTCATGTTACCCATGTTTATATGATTTTATGATTTTTAAAGCACTTGCATACCTTATCTCACTTGATTCTTAACCATTTTGTGAGGTAAACAGGACAAATTCAAGCAGTTGCTCTTTTTTTGCTCCTAGTTTTGAAATTTGAGTTTTAGTAAAATGACAATTGTGGCTTTTGAACTTGGCTGAGGGCTCTTGGCATAGTTTGTAAAAGTATATTGTTTTTCATATCTGAGATGATTATTTCCAGTTAATTCTGAGTTACTTGTGTTTATTGTTTCCATGGCTTCCTTATTGAGAATTGACTAGTGATAGAAATCCACTAAGGGGTAGGAAATTTTCTGCTGAGTAATTTTTATCTACTCAGAGAAATAGTGGGTTTTGGTATTTTTAGTGTAATTTAGAATTTAAGTAATTCTGTTCCCCAAAGTCAATTCATAGATTAATATATATGATTTGTGTCTGTGTTGCTTCCTGATTCTGAAATCAGGAAAAAATTATTGCCAAACTGTGTATTTGGTTCAGCAACTATGTCTCTATACCAAGATCACTGCTCTTAGAGCCCGGGGGGTGAATTCTACCAGGCGGACTATGCCAATGTCCTGTTCTGATTAAAGTTATTCAATGTAGCGTAGGGCTACCAGACATATTTTAAATGGCCTACTCATTTAATTCCATGACAAGATACTATGTATATCCACTCTCTGTCAGTGGCTCTATTAGGCACTGGAGAAACACAAAGTAGAAAAAGATTCTATCTTTGTAAGCTCTGGTAAGGAAAACAGACAAGAAAATAAGTGATTATTGTGCAGTCTGATAAGTACTTTTTATAGAGCTATATTTTAAGTGTTATAAAAATTAAAGAGGGGATTATCCACGTCAACCTAGGGCATCCGGTTTTCTTGAAGATATAGTGCTTTAGCTGAATCTTAAAGCTTTAATGTGAGTTAGCTAAATAAATATAAATATATTACACTATTTGTATATATTGAGCACTTCGGCAACACACTGTGGTAACTTTACACATTTTTAAATTCTCATAACAACATATGTGGTAGGGAACAGTGTTATTTCATTTTTATAGATGAGAAAATTGAGACTTACATAACTTGCACTAGGTCTTTCAGTGGTATGATGGGATTAAGTCAGTGTTAGAGAAGGGGTTTGAACCTGGTCACTTCTACCTTTAGAATCCACCTGTACATTTTAAAACCATGTATATTCTAGGCAGAAGATAGGCATATGCGAAAGCATGGAGGGCTAAAATAGCAAGGTACATACCTGGAGCTTGAGGTCTTCCTCTGTCACCCAGGCTGGAGTGCAGTGGCATGATCATAGTTGACTGAAGCCTTGAGCTCCTGGGCTCAAGTGATCCTCCTGCCTCAGCTTCCCAAGTAGCTAGGACTACAGGTGCACACCACCACACCTGGCTAATTTTTAAAAAAAATTTTTGGAGAGACGGGATCTTGCTATGTTGCCCAGGCTGGTTTTGAGCTCTTGGCCTCAAGTGATCCTCTTGCCTTAGCCTCCCAGAGTGCTGGGATTACAGGTATGAGCCACTGCTCCCAGCCCAGTGACTGTTTAGATACAGGGAATGGAGAGAGGTATGAGTCTAGAAGGATGCCCAGATTTCTGATTTGGACAGGAAATATTGGAGGAATAGCAGATTGGGATGGGGAAGAAAAGAAAGATGATTTCCGGTTTGAATATGTTGGATTTGAAGTGCCTGTGTGACAGCGTGGGAATGTTTGGTACACAGTTGGATGTACAGTTTGGGAGCTGGCAGAGAGATAGGGCTACGAATAGATTTTAGAACCATATGCTTATAGGTAGTAATTGAGTCCATAAGGTAAATGAGATCATACAGGGATAGAATGTAGGGCAAGAAGAGCAGAGGGCTGAGGGTGGAGAGTATCTTGAGGAAACAGAAATTTAAGGGGTTGCAAAAGTAGAGCTCTGAAAAAGTTTTATCAGAGAAGTTGGGGAGAGAATTTTAGGGAGAAAGAAGGGTCTGGGGATACATGTTAAATGTCTAAGAAATGGAAGTTCTTAGTGATTTTATTAAGAATGATTTCATTGGCATGCTGGGAGACAGAATCCAGATTGTATAGATTAAGGAGATAATGTATAGTGAGGAAATGAAGACATTGAACATGGACAGCTCTTTCAAGTACCTTTGCTATAAAAAATAGGAAAGATATGAAAATGGAAGGCAGATTACCATCTGCCCTTAAATTGACAACACAAAGTATCTGAACTTAAATGATCTCAACATGGAATGCAGCCTTGAATTGTTGGCTCACCCAAAAAATCTCATCAGAAGTTAATGAGAAATAATATCTATGAAGAGTGACTTAAAAGACAGCCTAGCCATTCTCTAGACTTGTAAATTATACTCTTAGATTAAGCCAGACTATTAGAAATCTATAAAGTTAAACTGCACTATTTCGAACTTCATAAAATTGCTTTTACTCTATGACACCTTGACATTTATGTTGTTAGGCATATTATGAAAAATGCAACCAGGTAGAATTTGTTGTAGTACTACTATGGAATATTTATGAGAACATTATCTGCAACATTACACAATTGTCTTCTGATGGCAAATTGTGAAAATTGTTTCTATTGGTTTTCAATGTCAGGAAAAGCAGCGACTCTCATAAATAATTGATTTATTTTTATCTTGTGGACACTGTGCTTGAACTGATTTTTTTTTTCCTTTGAATTGGCCTGATAAGCCTAGAGTCAGACTTGCTATTCATGTCCAGCAGCTTTATAGGACCAATTAAATGTATTTTTATGTACTGATCCTATCTATAGTTTTGTTATCCAACTCTTATTTTTCCTTTGCTCGGATTCCCCACTTGAGCTTATTTACAGAAATATATATAGTATTTGGGGAGTAGAGGGGTGTAAAGAGTGATGCTGCTGCACTGAAAGAAAGGAGTTTTCAGTAAGGGGGAAGTGGCCAGCAATATTCAGTGTTTCAGAGAAGTGTTTCTTGCTTGAGATATAATAAACTACACTTCTGATTTGAAATTAGACATTGCCTATTTAATGACCTAATATAATTAATAGGTCTTGGTGTTTGATTGGACGAGAGAATAGAGTCAAGGATATTCCAGGACTTCTAGCATAGATGGTTTTCTGTACTTTTCTTTTTATTTCTTAGTGAAAGTCCCTTTTCCCCACTTGTAGTCATCCCTTATCCCAGTCCCCCTCCTCCATTTAAAAAAGACTAGTTACATTTTGAGAGGACTGCTTAGGTATAAAAGGAGCTCCCGCCCCCAAGATGGACTATAACTCCATTCCTTTTTGTTCACTTTCTTCCGTATGTCTTCAGCATCCCCACTCTCCCGCCCGTGTGCTTTCCTTCCAGTTCCTTCTAACTGGGTAGAAACAGTTAAGGGCAAGGAATCTTACGTTCATCTGCCATTTCCTGTTTGGAAACTTCAGTCTAGTCTGCAGGTTAATCTTTGTGTAGGCCTGTTCTTGTTCCTTCCTTTTACCTGCATGAGTTTTCCAGCTCTCACACCAGTTTAATGTAGCCTAATGGTATATTTTTTGTTTCAGAGGACATTTTCTTGTTATTATTAATATATTTTTACTTCATAATCTTTTTATGAGGATGGGAATTTTTATGTTTTGTTTATTTATCCTCAGTGCTCAGAAGAGTGCCTTGCATGTAGTTGGTAATCATCTGTAAGTATTTATAGAATGAATTAATCCTGGTGATAAAATATATGATCAAAGAAAGCAGTAGCATAGTCAATGTAGAGATCATTGGGTTGGGAGTTAGGAAACTTGGATTCCAGTCCTGGCTTTGCCATAAAATACCTGTGTGGTCTCTGACAAGTTACTGCCCCTTTGCTGGGCCTCAGTTTTTTCATAGGTACAACATCCTTTATGTTGATGGCATATAGTAAATACATAAAAGTGTACAGTTGAGGCTTCTTTAGTAGTTTAGGTTTTTTAGCAGTTTCTATGTATGTAACAATTTTTTTGAAATGCAGGCCATAATTCCTAGCTTTATAAATGACTTAACTATAAGACTCTGCTTATTTTTGGATGGATTTGACTGTAGTATGAAAGAACCTGAATTCTAAAGTTATTAACTGGCTTATAATTTTTAGACTATATGCTCTTTCAGAGAAACTGAAAAAGAGAAGAAAATATAAGAGTGGGTATTTAATATTTGAGACACCTAAGTATAATCATTATGTTATACTTATGAATTAACCAACTGGCAATTTCCATGGATGTAATATAAGAGTATATCTTAAGGTA